TAAAAATTGAAATTAACAGCATGGAAAGGAAACCTTATTCAAGAACATTTAAAATTTAAAATTCTATCTTTATTCTGTATTAAAAAGGACAATGAACAAAATAATTTTTTTCTTAAGCATGAAGTCTGCTTCTTGATCCTTTAGTCAGGTTTCTACAATATCTTGTGCTTAAATGTTTCCCATACATTTTTTTATTTGAATATTAATGAATTATTGCTTTATTTTCCACAGGACATGTCGCTTCCTCTAACTTTATACATTCAGGCAGATAATTCAGCCAAAGACAATAAGAATTTTATTCTTATGGGGTTCCTAGCCAGTCTTGTACAACAACAAATCGTTAAGAAGGTAAATCTTTAGCATGTAGTTTCCATTTGTTTAAGTATCATCATTCAAAATAACATTTTTAAGTCATTTACAATGCATTTATGTTTGTGTATCAAAGCCATTCAAGTCATTTTCTCTGATTTTGTACTTTGTGATTTACCGAGATCAATGAGACCTGCTGCAAATACAATTTCAAAGTATGTTAGATGTGTAATATGTGTGCCCACTTTACACAGACTGTTTATTTCAAAATAAACAAAAATGTTACTGCAAATTAGATTTTAAACTGCATTCAGATAGAGAATTTAATGTGAATAAAAGTAATTCAAAGTAATTTACTGTGCATCAACTTATTTCTCATTAGCTTCATATCAGCTTCATATTAGCTTACTAGTATATAGATATAAAATTTTAAATCACATTAGTTTACTTTGCATTGCCATATGAACACAATTTGGCGATTGACCTTCAACTTGTACAGGTATTTATAATGATGGATTTTATAGTACTGTATTCGAACCAGTGAAAAACAAATATATTGTTATTCTTGTGGTATGTGCTCTAACTATTAAACAATGTAAAACATTTTGAATTATTTTATTCTTTAGAGCAATGGGGTTGGGAGCAGTTGTCTGATGGAAAAGGAAGAAGATCCGTCCGTTTTCTGGAGGAGAGCAGGGTTGTCATCAGCCAGTTGGTGACAGATCGGCACCTCCAAGTAGCGAAGTGGGTGCGGGAGAACATGCCAAACACGGTGCACAACATTGATGTTTGGCACGTGGCAAAAGGTAGGCATAATTTCTGCTTGATACTTGAAATAGAAGCTATGCAGCCCTGCACATGTTATTATTTTTTTTTATTTAAGTAATCTCAACAGGTGAATTTGAAAGAAATGACATGATCATAAAGATCACTGTACTCCTCAACTTTTATTACAGGATTGAAGAAGAAGCTAGTGGCACTCAGCAAAGAGAAAGACTGCCAGGACGTTGTGGACTGGATAAAGAGTATCACTTACCACCTTTATTGGGTTCCTTCCTCAACACTGGCAGATGAAGAAGATGAAATGAAATGGGAGAAGTGGTCCAGCATTCTCAACCACATTCAGAATGTTCATGCAGGGCATGGTGACCACTTTGAGCGATGTGAACACGGGGACCTGGGTCCAGACACTCGACTTAAAGATGGCTTAGACCTGGTAAGAACTGTTAAATTTATCATTTGAAATGAATAAAGAGGACATAAAATCTGGGTCATTTAACCTGACCTATGTAATCATGTTGCAGTTTCCATAGCATGTGTTAAACAGTCAACCAGTTCAACAAGTGACACTTCAGTTTAATTTATAGGTGCTTATTCTACTCAAGAATATCCTTTGTAAAACATTTATAGAGAAGATTCTTTAATTTTTGTAGGCACCAAGGTCCTTGAGAAGCTTGAATCAATCATTGATTCCAGACAGATGAGAAAGGACATCCCAAGGCTATCACCAACAGTTCAGACGTCAGACCTAGAGGCATATCACTCCGTGATAAATCACTTCGCCCCTAAGATGAATAGCTTTTCATACAAGGGAATGCAAAGCCGGTAAATAGTTACACATTTTTATTTAAACTTGAGTTGTGTTTCAAAACTGTTCTAGATGTCACCATGCAAATCTATAGTTTTACTTATCAACCTGAGTATGATTCATCACACCATGTTTTTTTTCAGTTTGTTACTTGCTGCCATGCATTACAACGAGAATTCTACCAAAGACCAGGCAACTACAAAAGACGGTAATCTGCAGTACAGGATTGTCTTCCCAAAACAGAAGAAGGGGGAATTCACAGTACAGAAAGTGAAGACTAAAAGCACATATGGTAAATTCAAATATTTATTTATTTATTTGGCATGTTTCCAGTGTAAAAAAAAATGTATAGTTTTAAATACACATCCTATGGTCTGTGAAATATGCATTGTTCATTACAGATTATGTGGATGCATTGAACAACAAAGCAAGTGAAATGGTTTTTAACAACACCATGCCACGCAGTGAAGAAGGCAACATTGCTCCGCCGCCTTTGTGTGACCAGTACATCCACCCAGAGAAGGATGTTGCCGTACGTCAACTTCTAACTCGGCTCAGACGAAACTAAATCCTTGGTACTGGCCATTTTCCTCGGGATAGGTAGTTCTGATCTTGTGAACGGCACACGCTGGTAATGGAACCCGCACTTGTTTCCCAAGCCACCCCCAGCACCACCTGGCTAATTGTCTGTAGCCGATATATCGCATTCGCCTGTGAAAGAGACAAAGAGATTTAAGTTCAAGTAATTTGTTATGAGCAAAAATTTTTCTTGTTTTGTTTAATTTCTTGAAACACGAAAAAAAAACCATGTCATATCACAATGACATAAATTTCAAATAAAATTTGATTAGTGTTATTCAGTTCCTTATTTATTAATGTGAATTTGCATTGTAATCTAAACTGCATTATTGTTTTTATGCTCTGCATATCTGTTTTTGATGACCTTTATTTATTGCATTTTTGTATTGTATGATTCATACATCTTGTTTTTGATGATATCTATTGTTATTGATCTCTTGTTAAGTTTTTTTAATTGTTTATTCTTTTAATATAATATTAAGAGTGCAATATTGTTCTGTTAGATCTAAGAATTTATTCATCAAGTTATTTCTTTAGTGGTGCTATGCTGACACTTCGTTCAGACAGGTATAACCTTTTTAGCTCACCTGAGCCAAAGGCTCAAGTGAGCTTTTCTGATCACAATTTGTCCGTTGTCTGTCGTTGTCGTTGTTGTTGTAAACTTTTCACATTTTCATCTTCTTCTCAATAACCACTGGGCCAATTTCAACCAAACTTGCCATAAAGTATCCTTAGGTGAAGGGGATTCAGGTTTGTTCAAATGAAGGGTCACGCCCTTTTCCAAGGGGAGATAACTATGAATTAGAGAAAAAATTAATGGAATTTTTAAAAAATCTTCTTCTCAAAAACCGCTGGGCCAGGAAAGATGAAACTCATGAAAATGGCCGATCAAAGTTTTACATAGGAATATATTGGAAAATCTTCTTCTCAAGAACCACTAGGCCAATACTGAGCGCTATTCTGTTCATATAGTGACGTCACTTCCGCTCTGCCTCGTTTTCGACTATTTCTATTTCTGCTTGATTGGATAGTCAGAACAGGTAAAAATAGCAATTTTACAAGCGGCGTAACCCTGTTAATCGGCCACCGATTTCGATGCGGTTTTTTGCAATCTGTTTTTTATCACCATGAGTATTATATATATTGCAATTAAGTGTCATTGCTTATATCCTTTAACTAATATTATTTCCGGTTATTGTAGAAATAGTTCCGGTTTAGACTAGAGGGAAAAATGACATACATGTATCTCGATAAACTTTCTTTGGCATAGGACTAACAAAGAAAACCAATCCCAATTTGCATAAAGGAATGAAGAATCTTTTATATTTCACGCGGGAGCATGGTATTATATGAGTAAAAGAAGTTGAGAATTAATGTTGGCTATGCTTATTTAACATTGCATGCAAACAAAAGATAGACAGTGTCAGTAGGACAAATTTAAGTCCCTTTAAGTCCCTTTCGGTTGATTGCGTTTTTCTTTACAAATTAAAAAACAGTATCTCAGATACTCCTCTTCTCCGGGCAAGTCATTTGGTTGAGTGATATCTGGTAATAGTATTTGTTTATGACCCTCACTATAATTAATTGCTCTGCAAAAGCAGTTAAACAGTGGAGATATAACAGTCAATTGTATGTTATGCCTGTAGATCTAATGTTCAAAATACCTAAGTTTGTATTGCCACATACAAATTCATTTGAATTTATTACGGAAGATACAATGTTTGATAAACTATGCTCAGACATAGTATTCTTATACCATTATTCCCACATACAACAGTATAGCTGCCTAATTTATTTATCCCCTGGGATTAAAAATACCCAGTATTATGTACTTTATATGATTTTAAATCTTAAGAATGGCAAATAAGGGATTTTTAATCCTATGTCGCCTATTATGGGAGAAAAAATCGTGTGGGAGAATTTTTTTCGCCCATGGGATTTTGGTGGGATTTCAGGTGGGATGAAAAATCCCCCCATTTTCACATGGGATTTTAGGTTTTGACAGAGGTTTATGAGAAAACTACTACATTGTGGAAGTTGAGATTGACATGATGAGGTCAGGATAAAATATCCCACCAAAATATAGAAAAAAAATTCTAATGTAGGTCTTTTCGAAAGGGTCCCAAAAAGTCCGGATTTTTTTTGGAATACTGTTCCGTTTACTTATATTTCCTGATAAGGTTATTTTGTTTCATTTTGTTTATCTGTTATAAATACAAGTGGACATGATCATTAAAACCATGTAAGTACAGTCATTTAGGGTATTCTGAATCACCTTTTACATTCTTGCTGCAAACGATCTCATTAACAAGTTTATAACCGGTTGTTTGGTATTGATGGAAAGGTGATTTTATGAGTAAATGTAAATATATTTACTGTACAAAGCGAGCTCATCTTCAATGCAATGACCTTGAGGACGGCTATATTTAGACCATCTTTTAGTGTGTTGCGAGCCACTTCCGTGTATTTAGAGTCTCTTCGTTAAATTCAATAAAAAACAAAAGTGGATAAAATTAAGAAGAAAACATAGAGTTGATATATAATAAAAGAAAACGAACCATCAACTTCCTTCAAAAACAGTACAGTATGCATATTATGAGTGTACAAGAATTATGATAAATGAAGTAAACAAGATTTTCGAGAAACATTTTCTTTCTCTTACATTTAAGACAATCGTGACATTGTGTCTGGAACAAATTCAATAACAGACTTTAACTCAACAACAAAAAAAAAAAACAAAAACAAAAAAAAAAAAAAAAAAATCATAAACACTACTTTCAAATGATATGTACAATTTCAACAAGTTTTCAAAAGGTGGTCACCTCAATAACTTCCTTTTTTTGACATGCCTTCAAGATGCTCCTGATGATAGTTAAAGCAATCTGAAGTATCTACAAGGAATCACCACTACACCTCCTCTTTTCTGGAGCATAGAGAGAGAGAGAGAATGAATATATATTGATATTTTTAAAAGTTTAAGAATTTTATACAAAAATCCTTACAAAACAAGTGTACTGTGTCGTCATAATCATTTAAACTTTAATTACATTGAACCATGATTAATTTATGACATTTGTGCAAATTTGACATATGAATTCAACAGATTCCAGAGATATTGCATCTATATTCCATGGATGATCACCTAGAATGCATGAAATATGTTCCCACTGCTGATCAGTGACACTTCTCACACTGTATCCGGAGTCAAAGCTCATCAGTATGACATACAAAATATACTTCAGATGGAAGACGTTGAAGCAGATGATGGATTTATGTTTGCAGTAGAAGGTTTCGGCATCCTCTTATCTGACTTTAAAAAACCCATGAATAGTTTATTCACTTTTATTTTGGATGACTGGGTGTGAATGTTTTTGGCTTTCTCTTTTGATTAAAGAAATTTCTCCTTCGCTTTCCTCTCTCTCAATGCATTTTGTTTCTTTTTTCAATCATTTCAATCCCATCTTCCTGATAGAATCTAATGAAATTAAATTGTCTGGCAATTCATCTGCAAGGCTTTTCTTCTTCATTTTCTTCAATTTCACTCCCACATCCAGTGGTTGCATCAAGTTAGTTGCATTTCTTACTAACCTATAGATTTCTATCTAATGATATTTGGACATAGAAAAAGGATTCCATGTCAACATGACTCCCTCCACTACCAATTAATAAAACAAATGGTCTCTCTCACAGCATAATTATGAAGATTTTCTGAAAGCTTCTGCATTCATCCAATCCTCTGTGACTTCTGCATGCGCATGTCTGTGTGAACCAGCCAGTAACTCATAGGAGATTGGTATGGGCTTAGAAATCGCAAAAATGCAGGAATTACTGTACCTTCAGCATTTGCACAGCACATCACGGCAACTATCGCTTGCCCCCCCCCCCCCCCCCCCCCCATACATGTGAAACTTCAGATTTTGATCCCATTGTAAATCCAGTTTTATCTGCATTATATACTCTTTCATGTTTATCCAGGGTTATTGAAACTTCGAATTTCTGGACAGGTTTGACACATCCTTAAACTTTCACAAATTTTAATTTTATTCTTAAGGTAGGATTCTTCTTATATTTCTTATATTTAAAAATTAATGAAATTTTCTCAGAATCAAAAAGACAATATCACTACATGATGGTATCAGTAAGATTAAGTTTGACCGTTTTGTATTAAGGGCAAGGTAAGGTCAAGGTCATTTAATTTACCTTTTCCCTGGACATTAAGAATAACAAATACTGTTGCCAATAAAAAGATTGAATGCTTTTCTTTTTGCATAAAAACAATACTACCATACAGGGCCTATAAGATGCTATAACCAAACTGACATAAATAATTTAACTAAAATGGATATTTACTTATCCGAATTTTCTCTACTTTTCTTAAATTTTTAGGATATATTAGCTATTTTTATATGCTTCCTATATTTAAAATTTTCTCATTTTCACATATGGTAAAGTTGTCACATAAAGGTACAAAATGATGCAAAAACAAAAAGTTTTGATCGTTTACTAAGAGAGGAAAAACACTTTTTACGGATATTTGGCTCAAATTTTTACTTAGATTTGAAATTTTTTAAAAGCTAACACAGTTCTAGTTTGTTTGAAAAATAATATGTATTTGATATATTTTGAAACTTTAGTCCCTTATCATCAATTTAATTAACATATTGATTTTTTTTTTTCAAGTCTTTGATTGTGTAAAAATTATAACTAAATTCGTTGTTCTACAAAAATTTTGAGAGGTAGAAAATAAGAATCCTACCTTAATACTAACTTAAGAAAAGTTGCAATTTTGTTGTGTATTGATGAAAAATAGTAAAACAGTAATCTAGAAAATTCAGAGTAGAAATGTTCGAAAGCAAAACTCGCAGTTTATTGTCAGTTCGTGCTCAGTGGTGTGTGCAGACCTAATAAACAATTGAACACACCTGGTGAATCGTAAACATGAAGAAAGCTAACTGTGCCCTGTTCACAAAAACAGTCAACGTTTCACGGGTGCATTCAATTTGTTAAACTTTGTACACAACTATAAGCACGGACTGACTATACTAGTGAGGGTTCTTTTTCTTTCGAACATTTTCTAATCTGAATTTCTGGATTATACCATATAAGTAGAAATTTTAGCTAGGATTTAATT